CCACCTCAAGGCCTCAATGGCTGAGTAGTATTCCACTGTTGGACGTCCCTCCAAATCCATAGGTCAGAACTAACCCAGGGGGACGGGGCTAGGAGCGGGGCCTCAGGAAGGGGAGTAGGTCCTGCGGGGGCAGCCATCACAAATGGGACGAGCGCCCATGTAAAAGGACCCCAGAGAGCCCCCTGGCCCCTTCCACCCTTTGAGGATGCTGCAAGGAGGTGCCATCTGTGAACCGGAAGGCGGTCCTCGTCGGACACAAAAGCTGCCAGCGTCCCGATCCTGGACTTCCAGACTCCAGCCATGAGGGGACTCGTCCGCTGTCTCTAAGGCGTCCTGTCGTGGTGTTTGTTAGAGCAGCCTGAGCATGCTGACATACCGCTCATCAGCTGACAGGCTGGGGACTGTTTCCTCTGGGTTGTTATGAGGAAAGCTGCTGTGGGCTCGTGTGTGGACGAGCGTTTTCTGTTCGCTCAAGGGGGCACCCAGGCGTGGCATTGCTGGGCTTGGCTGTGTTTAACGCTGGGGCGCTGCCAGACTTTTCCACGGTGGCTGCGCCGTTACCTTCCCACCAGCAGTGCACGAGGCTTCCGACTCCTCCACGTCCTCGCCGACACTTGTTACCCGTCTGTGACTGTGGCCATCTGGTGGGGACGAGGCGCTGTCTCACTAGGATGCTGATTTGTATTTCCTGATAACGACGTTGAGTGAGCATCTTTTCACGGACATGTTGACCGTTTGTATGTCTTTGAAGATGTGTCTGTTCAGGTCCTTTTCCCATTTTTGAATTGGGTTCTTTGGTCTTTTTATTGTTGAGATACTCTCTCCTTCTAGAAGCTTCTAGCCTGTGCATCCCTTGCTCTCCTGGGCTTTTGCCTTCCCTGGTGTGGATCATGCGTCATTCTCCTTTGCTGGCTCCTCCTCCTTGTTCCAGCCTCTTTCCTTCTCTTGCTTCCTTCCCATGTTGGGGGGACACACATCTGTGGCGTTCCCGTGGCACGCTGTCCCCTGAAGAGACGTAGCTGGTGGCCGTGGGCGCCCCTCACCTTCACCCGCCCTGGCTCTCCTGCCCAAACGTGTCTCCTCCCTGCTCTGCTCCTCCAGAGCTCCTGGGCCTGAGCCTCCAGGCCCTCCTTTGACCGCTGATTGCCCGCCCTGGCCACGCTTCGTGTGCGACGCTGCCCCTCACTTAGCCTCCTGACCCCTGCCTCCCTGTGCAGCTCGGCCGGATGGCGCCCCTTCTTCCGCAGACTTGCCTGGGCACCAGAGGCTGGGGGGTGCCTGGGTCTTGCTGGCTGCCTGCCGTGTGTCCCGCCTGAGCCCTTGAGCTCCCCTGAGCCCCTGGGAATGTAGCATGGGGCAGGAGTCCAGGCTAGTTTTTTTGTTTTTATCATGATTATCCAGTTATTCCCCACTATTTGTTGAAAGGATTGTCCTTTCCCTGTTGTGAGTACCTTGGCACCAAGGTAACCAAAAATTACTTTATCATGTATGTGTGGCTGCATTTTGGGTTATTCTGTTTCATTGGTTTGTACGTCTGTCTTTTTGACAGCACCGTGTTGTCTTAATCACTAAGTTTTAGAGTAAGTCCTGACATCCGTCCTGGACGCCTACAGCTTTTTGTGAAATTCTTTTGGATACTTCCAGTGCTTTGTATTTCCATATCAATTTTAGAATAGCTTGTCAATTTCTGCTATTTTCTTATCCTGCTTTAATTTTACTTGAGATTGCATTGACTCTGTAGACCAACTTAAGGAGAATTGACCTCTTAACAATCTTGAGTTTTCCAACCTGTGAAGATGGTCAGGATTTCTCTGATGTAAGTGTTCTTCCATTTTCTCCGGCAGTTCCTTTTAAGGTTAATGTGCAGGTTTTGTGTGTATTTTATTCAATTTATCGTTAATAATTTCGTGTTTTTTAATACTATTCTATAAATTATTATTGTTTAAATTTCACTTTGTGGTTGTTGGTTACAAGTGTACAGAAATACGCCTGATTTTGTGTGTTGCCTTGTGTCCTGGGACTTCAGCCGAACAAGTTCTCTTCTTTGTTCTGGTTGTCCTAGAGTTTTTATAACGAATATGTGTCAAATTTTATCAAATACTTTTTGTAATTTATATAATTTACGGAGATGGTTTTCTCCTTTTAAAATTTATTCTGTTACTATGAGCATTTCATTCATGGTTTTTTGAGTGTTAGGTCAACCCTGTGCTCCTGGGATGGAATCCTCTTGGTCATGATCTATTATTCCTTTCATGGGGGGCCGAGGGGGCGCCCATCGGTCAGGGCCAGGCAGCCAGGGCCACAAGGATGTCTGGAGATCGCCCGTCCCCATGGTGCTCGTTTTAATAAAGAGCCTCATAGAGAGAGGGGCACACACCATAAACAGGAGGAGACTGGCAGAAAATGAAACACGAGGAAGGAGGGCTGCAGCCACGGTGAGGGCAGCTGTGGAAGGAGGAGCGGGGCTCACCTGCTCACAGCAGAGAAGACAGAAAACCAGCATTCACAGGCCACCTAAGAAGCCAGCAAGCCAGTCACGAGGGAAGGAGAGAGCGAGCGTACAGGTAGAATAAAGTTCATTCATTCATAAAGCATGAACCAGTAACAAAGAAATAGGAATAAGAGAGACCAGGACTCCAGATCCAACACGAAAAGGCTGATTAGGAAATACTGTGAATCTCTTATGACAATAAACTGATACTTCATAACTAAGATGAACCAGAAAAATTTCTCAGAAGGTATAAATTCTCAAAACTGACTCAAGAAGAAAGGGAAAACCTAAATAGCTCTCTATCGGAGGATTTACGTGTGTCCTTAAAAACATTCCCACAAACACCCAGGATCGGAGGTCGCAGTGACACCACACCCTCCCCAGAATGCGGAGCGCTCAGAGCACCTGAGCACAGACTAGAAGAAAACGTACTGCACGTCCCTGTACACACAGTAGCAGAGATCCTTAAAGAGACGTTGGAACGCAGGCTCTCCCAGTCGTGGAAGGGACTGTCTCCGCGCCGCTTCTGTGTTCTAGCCGGGGGGCACAGCGGGGCGGGAGTGCGAGCTCTTTGTGACATCAGGGCAGAAGTGGAGGGGGCGGTGGGAGCAGGGACGGGGTGGGGGGCAAGCTTGCCCCCCCAGGGGAGGTGGCCTCCATGAGCCGGAGGCATTTGTCCCGCTGCCCCCCTCCGTCCAGTGTCCTCTTGTCTGGGCGGCTGTTGCTGGTCACAAGCCCTGGGCATGGCTGCCTGTACCCGTTGTCCATCAGGGTGGCTGCAGAGGTGGTAGGGGGTGCAGGCAGCGAGGCAGGGGTCTGTCCAGCACGGTGAGAGCGGGGACGAGGTGACAGGAGCGGGGACTGTGCTTCCACGGATAACATGCGGCCGTGCCTGAGAGCTCTGGGGTTTGGAGGGCGTGGCTGAACTCCCGGGACGGGACGTTCCAGCTGCAGGCTGCTGGTGAGATGCAGTGCTGGGCACGAGGGGGCACGTGGGAGCAGTGGGCGAGAGGTGGCCCGAGTCTGGGTCAGTGCCCGAGGGTCGCCCTGCTCTCAAGAATGAGAGGAGAGAGGCTTTGGGAAGGGCGGCCCTGGGGCTTTGGCTGGAAGGACTAGAGGGATGGAGTTGCCGTGGGTGAGCCTGCGGAGGGGCGGGTGGTTTGGGCACGTGGAGTTTGAGATGCCACTGCACGTCCAGGTGGAGGTGCTTAGCGGGCTGTTGGTGGGGCCAGGCCTGAGTTCAGGCCCAGGTGTAGACGGGTGTGGGGGACGGTGGCACACAGGTGACTGAAGGCCACGAGGCTAAAGGAGAGCACCCAGGAGGTGAGCACGGGGAGCGAAGAGGGTGGTCCAGGGTCTGAGCTCCAGGTGCAGACACGAGGTCAGGGAGGTGAGGAGCCAGCGAAGCCCCTTGAGCAGCATGGCCCCAAGCTGGGGGGGGGGGTGCCAGGAGGGCAAACTGTGGGCCATGGGGTGGGAGGGAGCGTGGGGACCATGGGAGGAGGTGCAGTAAGGAGAGTGGGGGGCTCAGTGGTGCGCAACGGTTGAGTGAATCCGAGGGGAAAACGTGTTCTGCGGTTTCCCGTAATTTGTTGGTGGCCTGGTGGAAAGGGTGCTCATGCTGCGGTCCTCAGATGGCACCCTCCCAGGCTGGCCTGGGGGCTCCTTCCCATCCCCCCCACCCCGCCCCCGGCTCTATGCTGCACCATCTGTGTGGCCTAAGGGCGGGTGTCAGGGACCCGGGCGCAGGTCAGACGGTGCCCCCACCCCTGCCACGCGGGGTCTTGCAGGGAGCAAAGGGGGCGTCATGCTGCAACTCAGAGGGTCAGGAGGGCTCCTCTCTGGTGCATGTGCCCGCAGAAGGCCCGAGGGCAGGGTTTGCCCCCGGTGTCACTCTGTTCAGGGGGGCCGTGATCATCCCGAAGCGGGTGAGGAGCTGGTCTTTTCAGTCCCTTCGCGGTCACACTCAGAGCCACAAACCACAGTCCGGGGCCCGGCCCCCAGTGTTCTCGAGTCTGGAGGTGGGAGAGTCACCCCGGCCCACAGCGACTGTGGTGCCAGGGGTGTCTGCGGCCACGCCGCTCCCCCAGCTTCCCGACCTCGCTGACCCCCGGACTCTGGGCCCAGGCTACTGCCCAGACGCAGCTTGTGTGCGGGGCATGCAGGGGCCGTGCGGGGAGGGGCTCCTGACCGTGGCAGCTCGGGAGTTACGTGCGCTGTGGGCCGTCCGCCCCAGTCCAGACTCACCCCTGTCGCTCTCTCCCTCCTCCCTCACCCCTGTCCCTGCCTTCTCCATCTGTGGGTGTGTCCGTCCGTCCCTCTGGGCCCTCATCCCCTCCCGTGGCTGCTCTCTTGTGCCTCTGGTCTTCCTACTGGTTCTCCCGCTCCTGTTGACTTGTGCCGCTGCGACCCCGACCCCTGCTCCTGCTCTTGTCCGGTTGCCTTTCTGCCACCCTGGCCCCTCCCTCCGTCCCCTCCCCGTCCCCTCTCTCTTCCCTGGCCGCTGCAGGCACACGGTGCAGCAGGAGACCAACAAGACCATCGCGGCCAGCACCAGTGCCCTGAGGCAGATGTCGGCGCTCCTGCGGGGCTGCTCCCGGGTATGTGGCCCTGGCGGCCGGGGGGGCGGAGTGGGGGGAAGGCCTGGGGCTGGGGGGCCCCTGGGGAGATTGGTGGGCCCAGGATGCCTGCGCTGGCCTGGGCTTGGCCGGTGCGCCACCTGGGCCGGAGCTCGATGTGCTCGCTGGGCGCCTGCCGTATGCCCAGCGCTGCTGTGGAGGCCCCGAGTCCTAGCCGGATTGTCTGGACAGAGACGCCTGACACCCCGCCCCCGCCGCCACCTCCCGTCACCCACCCTCCACCCCTCACCACCGCGTCCTCACCCACGCCAGTGCCCATCGTCAGAGCACACACGTAGTCACGGGGTCACAATTGCCACCATCCTTGCAGCCATAGCCCCCTTCACAGCCCTGACCCTCATCACATCACCTGTGCCCTTCCCCATGCAGCCCCTCCCCCGTCCCCTTCACCCCTGGCCGCTTACTTCTCTCCACCCCCTTTTACTAGCTCAGCACATCCCCATCTTTGTTATCCACGCCCTCTCCCATTCCCAAAGGCTGGGGCGTGTGGTCACAAAGCCTTAATTACTCTTAAACCCTTGGCCGTCCTGGGAGAGGGGCCGTGTTCATGAGTAAAGCTCATCACACGCTGCCCAGGGCGCCTGCCCACTACACCGGCAGACCTGGGTGCCTGTCTGGCCCGGGATGTGGCAGTGTGGCCTCTGCAGACAGAGGCTGGACCGTGCTGGGGAGGGTTCCCGTGACAGGCCCGGGGAGCTGACTCTGCCACCACCCGGTGACCGCGGCGGTCCACCGGGCGAGAGCCGGTGCAGACGCCACGTGCCGTGTGGCCCTGTGCATGTGCTCGCGTCGGGTGCGTCTGCCCGTCCTGCCTGTTGCTGTCCTCAGCCCCTTTATCTGGAGGGACGCCGAGGCCTGGAGACTGTCCCGCACAAAGCATCTCAGCCAGGGAGGAGTCTCGGCTAGATTGCCCCTCTGGTTTTTCTGGGCCCACGGTCCATGTGGTCACTGTGTGCACCACGAGGGCCGAGACTCCGAGCTTGAGTTCCTTGGGGGGTGGAGGGATCGCCTTTAGCCTAATGTGTCCTTCCATTTGTCCACCCACCCATGTAGCCACCCGTCTGTCCATCCATCCACCCATCTAAGAACCCAACACACACTGATTGAACACCTACTGTGTGTGAGGTGCTGAGAGAAGGCCACAGATGAGGCTCTCGCCGTTCCGTGGTCAGACAGCCTGGCTGGGAGGTGCTGGAATTGCTCCCTGCTGCCTCGGAGAAAAGGCTGTGCCCGTCACACGGGGCTGATGCTGGATCACCCAGCCCAGAGAGCGCTGAAGAGTCCCTGGGCTCTCGGCTCTGTCCCGGCACACACATAGAGTGCCCCTCACAAGAGCCTCCCCCGGACACTAAAACAGGCTCCTCAGACCCGCAGTCACATGGGGACCACACCGAGTCCCTCTGAAAAGTGCCCATCGGAAAGCTGGGGCCCCTGAACTGTGGCCAGCCTGCTCTTCTGCAGGGGCTCACATGAGCTGCATGGCGGCGGCAGAGGGGCGGGCACCAAGCTCGGGGCTGAGTTCCAGTTGGAGGTGGAGAGAGGCCCCCCGGCAGGGGTGGACACTCTGTGACTTGAGATGTAGGGTCTGCCTCTCCTGGGAGATGATGGGGGCAGGAGGGTCCAGGAGTCCACGTCGTGGTTCTGGTGCAGGGCACAGGGCATCGGTGTGGCTTTGTGCCGGTGTGGCCTGGAGAGACGTGAGCGTCGGGTCCTGGCGGCCGGGCGGTGCTCACGCAAACCTGAGCAGGCAGTGCCGGGTTTCGGGGCTGGCTGGTCTGTCCCCTTGCTCGGCAGTATGTCTTGAGCACCGGCTGTGTGCCAGGCATCATCCGGGGCACTGGGGTGCTGGAGTGTTGGCCCCCCGTCAATGTTGGCAAACAAGACGTGAAGGATGGAGGCCGTGCGCACTGCCGAGCGCCTGGTGGTGGGAGGGAGGTTTGATGAGTGCAGTTCTGACCCTGGGGGTGAGACCCAGCCTGGCGTGTGATTGGCCGCAGGTCCCTGGAGTCAGCGGCCAGGCTTCATGGCCTGCCTCCACCCCTGTGTGGCCATGAACCCACTTAGAACTCAGGCTGAGGCCTCCTGAGCCGTCAGGTAGAAGTCGTAACACTTCTCGTTGTGGGGACCAGACAGGTGCATCGTGGAGCAGCGCCTCGCTCCGTGGCCAGGGCTGAAGATGCGGGATCTGCTGGGGGTGGCGTCTACATGGGTGCTGGCCTGTGATGGCTGGGGCACAGTAGACAGGGATGAGCCCAGTCCAACAGCAGCGCGGTGGTGACAGCGTGAGGCTGCGGATGGGGGGCCGATCGTGGGGAACTGCAGCGCCCAGGGATGGAGGAGGCCGCGGGCGGGACGAGGCCTCAGCCGTCCTTATAGCTCACCTTCTCCCTTTGTAGCAGGAGTGTGTTCAGCTGGACCGCCTGAAAACTCAGCTCTCGGATGCCATTCAGCGCTACGGCGTGGTGCAGAAGGTGAGGCTCCCCAGGGAGGCCTGGCGGGCTGCGTGGGGTGGGCCTCGGGCCCTGCAGCTCCCCTTCTGGCAGTCTTGTCCCTGGGTTGGCCTGGTGGGGTCCCGTGCCCTAGAGCAGACGGAGGGCCAGGCCTGTAGACAGCCGACAATTGCCAGGAGCCGTGACCGCAACATGGGTAGTGAGGGATGTTTACCTGCGGGTGCTGCCTGGGAGGCACCTGGCAGGTGGGAAGAACGGGCATTCCTGTTCTGACAGGTGAGGACACTGAGACCCAGGGCTTACGTGTGGGGGAGGGGGCCATCCACCAGATTGTTGGCAGAGCCCGGCCTGGCACCCAGCCCGGCACCCAGCTTTCCCGAGGCCCAGGATAGCTGCGTCCTGTCACAGAGCTGAAGGTGGGCTCTGCTGTCAGGTCTTGTCCACTACCTTGTGCTTATCTGACCGTTTCTTCTCTCTTCCCCACCTTTTCTGTTCTTCCTGTTTTTCTCCATTCTTTAACAGAAAATTGCAGAGAAGTCCAGAGCCCTGCTTCCCACGGCACAGCGGGGTGGCAAACAGCAGGTGGGTGCCGAGTGATTCCTGTGGTCTGTGAGCGTTAGGTGACGGCCCAGCATCCAGTGCCCTTTGTGCTTGGGGAGAAGTGGGAAGCACTGGGCAGAGGCCCCATCCGAGGGGGCCTGACTTGGCGAAGAACCTTTTAAAAACCAGCATTTTGACCTTAGTTCCCTGGCACAGGCCGGAGACAGTCCTGAGTACAGACAGTTCTGCGTGCTGCGCGGGACTGACTTGGACCCGACCGGCCCTCTGGGGAGCAGAAACTGATAGAAATGGGAGGCGCCAGTGCGCCTGGAGTCGTGGATGAACAGGGGAGAGAGTGGTCAGAAACAGCGCTTGACGGTGTAATGGCTGAGATTTTTCCAAGGCTCTCCAAGTATTTCAAGCCACAGCTTAAAGAACCTCTGTGATAAACAGGATTAACTTACCAGTACTCATATCATAATAAAAATTTGAAAACCAAAGACAAAAAAATCCTAAAAGCAGACTAAAGCCCGAGAAGAGAAGTCACGGCATTTTTCAAGGAGTGACAAGACTTACAGCTGACGCCTGAGGTGGGTCCATGGAAGCCGGACAACAACGCGGAGCCGTCTTTAAAGTGCTGAGAGAAAGTGGTTGCTCACGTGGAATTCCATGCCTGCTGAAAATATTTTTAAGAAATGAGGGTAGAATGAAAACATTTTTGGAGAAGCACAAACAGAGGGAACTTGCCATCGACAGAACTCTGACAGGACCACAGGGAAGTGGTCCTGGGCAGATGGGTGCCAGCGGGAGGGGCCGCGCGTCCTGGAAGCGCTGATGTGTGGACACATCTGAGCTAACGTTGGCTGTTGAACAATGGTCCCTCCTTGGACGCGGAGCAACTCCCAGGAGCCTGACTGGCAGGCAGCACAGGAAGAGGGATGAGCCGTGTGGACGCTGCATGTCTGTAGCCTCCGAGAAGCGACAGGAGCTGTGGCCTACGGCAGCTTGCGGTGAGCCAGTGCGTCCCGCCTTATGCAGGGGACACTGACGGACAACACGAGAATATCAGTTACACGGTAAGTTGTTATAACCAGGAAATAATAAAACATACTTGACTAATTTAAAAGAAAGCCAAAAAAAGAAAAAAGAAAATAGGAAGGAAAACAGGAAACAAGTTGTAAGATGGTAGGTTTATACCAGGTTTGTGTATAACTCCATCAGAATGACCTGACCCCTCCGATGAAAAGGCCCAGATTGTCAGACTTGGTTAACTATAAATCCAGAAACGTGTTGAGAGTTAGAGAATGGACAGAGATATGTGTGAAGCCACCGCGCAAGGAAGACCGGCGCCCCGTGCCCGGGTCAGAGTGAGCGAGTCCGTGCGGAGCGGCGGCCCTGCCTCACAGGACAGCGTGGTGATTCACGTACAAGATGCGGTTCTGCCTCTGTGCCTGATAACATAGCCTCAAAATACGCAGGACAAAACCGACAGTGATAAAAGGAAAAATGGTAAATCCACAGTCACAGGTGGAGATTATAGCACACCTGTCGAGACGACTAATGAAGGAAACAGGAAAGTTTGGGGAGGGTCTGAGAGACTCTGTCAGTGCGATTAATGAACATGGTCTTGCCAAATGGTCGTTCGCGACACGGTAACCAGCTGCCGGAGAGCGAGCGGGAGAGTGTGCGTTCCTGCCGGTGTGCAGCGCGTGCTGGACTCTCCAGCCAGTCTCCGCAGGTTCCAGAGGGATGACGCGACCTGAAGTACGTTCTCGGATCAGCGCAATTAAACTCACATTTGATACCAAAAAGGCAATTTCCAGGCTTGGGAATGAAAATAATACAATTTGAAGGAACCCATAAATCAGAGAAGAAAGCAGAGTAGAAATTGGAAACGGTCGTGAAGTGAACAACGGAGAGAATGCAACAAATCCAAACTTGGGATGCAGCTGAAGCAGTGCTCCGAATGCTTCCCTCAGAAAGAAGAAAGTGTGAAAGTCACAGAGCTCATTCTCAATCTCATGAAGCTGGAAAGCAACACCAAATTAAATTCTAAGAAAATAGATAGGAAAAAGCAGAAATCAATGAAATATAAAGTAGATGCATATTGGACAAGTCCAACAAAGCCAAAACATTTTTTTAGAAAGATTAATAATAAATCCCACATGATTAGTCACGATACATAGAGAACAGATTACTAGTATCGGGAATGACAATGAGCATATTATGGATGCTACATATTAGGAAAAATAGAAGTTTGAAGATACTATGATACAACTTTACATCAATAAATTTGACAGGTGAAATAGAAAATTTTTTTTTTTTAGAAAAAAATGTAAGTTACCAAGACATACAGGAAGTCTGGAAAGCCCAGTATTTATTACAGACATGAAATCAATAATTAAATAATTTCCGTTGTTAAAATCCCACCAAAAAAAACTCTAGACCTAGATGACTTTACTGGTGAATTCTTCCAGATATTTGAGGAATAAGTGTTACTAGTTTATACAGACTCTTAAATAAAACACAAAAAGAGGGAACACATGTCACCTTGCTTTACGAGGCCAGCAAACCGTGATTCCAAGTTCCTATGAGGGTGTCACAAAAAGGAAACTAACATGTTCTCTCGTGAGCATAGGGACAAAAACCCTAACCGCATCACTAAAAGGCTAGATCTAGTAGTACGTAAAAAGGTAATACATCGTTACAAAGTGGGGCTTATTCTGGGGGTACGGAGTTGGTTTACGTTTGGAAATAGCCCATGTAAGCCGCCGTGTTCATAAAGTAAGAGAACCTACTGGGTTGTCCCACTAGGGAGAGGAGAGCACCGCCGAGGCTGGGGACCAGCACCCTCAGCAGGCTGGTGGATACGAGTGCCTTTAACCTGAGGTGGGCGTCTTCAGAAGCCCTACAGTTGGAAGCTTCCTCCTGAGACCCGGGACGAGACGCGGGTCTAGCACCGTTCTCTTCCCCACCGCCCTGGAGGGCGTGTGCAGTGCCCTGAGACACGACACAGAAGTGAGAGGCCTATGGAGGCCTGGGGAGGAAGAAGCCCCATCAGAGACCGCATGACTGCATTACTGGAAGATGTGGATGAGTCTGCAGTGAACTTAGAGCTAACAAGCGGTGGCAACAGGGTCAGTATACAAGGAAGCACTGGGTGCAGAAGACAGTGTGCAACGAAACTTAGAAAGTGACCCCGTTTGGAATGGCATCGGGACTAGGAAGAAGCCTTCGAACAGCTATTCGAGCAAGGGTGCTGCCATTGCACTAGGGAGTGGAGGGTCTGTTCAGGGCTTGATGCCGGGTTGGCCAGGGTTTGAGCTGGGAAAAAGGATCCTGTTGAGCAAATGACAAGTCCAAGGCCAGACACCCCTAGCTTTGCATCTCGGTGTTGGAGTAGCCAGGGAAACCGTGCACTCAGTCCCTGTGAAGAGAAGAGCCAGCAAGATCCGCTCCCGCGGTGGGCATGGTCCCCTGTGGCCAGTGGGTCCCTCCTGGCGGTTGATGCAGGGCCATTGGCTTGCACGCCTCCCCCGTCCTAGAGCAGAAGGACCCTGTCCCCTCCGCGCAGGGGACAGACACAGCAGTGGGCTTGGCCAGGTGCCATGGGATGCACGTGCTTTCGCCGAACAAAGAAGTCTGCATCGAGTCTGAAACAGGGAAAGACGTTGTCTTACGAGCCAGCAAGCCTGGCACGGCTGTGAAGGCTCTGTCTCTTGGTGAGAAAGTGCTCCAGGCCGTGGTCCATTCTTATGTGGCTGAGAGGGGCCAGGAGGGCACATGCACAAGACTGCCATGGCCAGCAGGTCCTTTACCGCAACCCGCCCCCCACGTGCAAGAAGCACTTCGGCTGGAACATGGACCTACAGGTGAAAGATAAGGCAATGAAGCTTCTAGAAGATACCATAGGAGTCTGTCTTCACATCTTTATGGTGAGCAGACATTTCTTACACAGATGAAAACGTACCAAGTATAAAGCAGATCAACTTGACTTCCTTAAATTAACACACCCTTAAGGGAGTGAAAATCAGTGTGAAAGAAGGTGTTCATGTACGCATGTCTGGAAAGGACTGATGTCCGTAATATGTGAAGATCTCTAAGAAATCAATAAGAGGCAGACAACTCATTTCAAAACCATGAAAGGGCAAGAGCCTTAGGCACGTCACAAAAGGGGACGTCCGCATGGCCGGCAAGCGCACGAACGTGTGCTCAGCAGGCGTCATCCGAAGCAGGCCAAAGGAGCCCATGGGGCTCGGTCACTGCCCGCCCCCTCGCACCCACCGGAATACTCCGTGCAGTCAGCCTCCAGGGTGCCGGGAGGCTGTGGGGCAGCCAGAAGTCTATGCCGATGGGAGCTGGCGGACGCCACCCTCTGGGCCCTGAAACACTTCCTGGATTCATGTGTTCTCTTTCCTGCGACCTTGCAGTCCCTCCCCAAGCGCATGGCCGGTGGGGATGCACATGTGCATTCACCTGAAGTCGCCAGCAGGCCCACCGTGTGATCTCAGACAGAGTGTTGAGCCAAAGAAGCCTGAAACCAGAGAGGAGGGAGGGCAAATCCCAGCCAAAGTAATGGGCAGGGTTAGAAGCCAGACAGTATTTCCCTTGGTTGGGGGCAGCATGATGGCTGGGGGGCTGCAGGGGCGCATCTGGGGTCCTGGTGATGTTCCATGTCCTGCCTGAAGTCTTCTCTTGGTAAGAATTCAGACCTGTGCACTTCTGATTTCTGGACCGAAGATGTGTTGTGTTTCAGCCACATTTTTTAAGAAGGAAGAGGATGGTCAGCAGTGTTTCTGAGAATTATGGAAGAGGAGGGTATTTCCAGGAATTCTGCAAACTGTGAACAGTAAGATGACGTGTCATCCTGTTCCACACAGGGGTGGTTGTGACACTGATCTCGCAGACTTCGGAGCTGCTGTCTGCAGGCTGGCGGTCCTGGCGGCGGGTGGGGCGCCCACCGCCCACCTTCTCCCACCGGAGCCGAGTGCCGGCCGTGGCCATGAGCAGGTCAGCCCTCCAGGCCGGTCCATGGTCAGTCTCAGACCCGGTCAGGCCCAGCCAGGGGGCAGCGCCGTGTGTGTCTGGGCTGGCTCCTGCCCCTCAGTGGGGACGGTCTGCGTCATGCGCTGCCATCGGCCGGCTCAGCGTAGGTTTCTGCCAGAGCTCCGTGTGTTTGCGGCCATGGTGGGAAAGACATGCTTCATCTTCCTGTGTTCGCTGGGACTCCTGTCGTACTTCCCCGCCGGGCACAGGGTGGGGTGCCCCTGGCCTCTGGGCCCCAGTGCTGTTATTTCACGTGGGTGTCGGGGGACAGATCACTCTAGTCATGCTACTTCTGATATTCTGGGCTTTGACGAGTCTCCAGAAACTTCCACCAGCCAACAAACAGCGTCATTCATTATTTGGAGAGATTGATGACCAGCCTTGGGCTGCTCCACAGAAGCAGTTTTCCCAAGCCCATGACCGGCTCGCGCCCTGACCCCTGCCCTCCCACCAGGGTCATGGACGTTCCTGCGCGGAGCCCGGGGTCGGAGTGCGCGAGAAAGCGGCCTGTTTCCCAGAGCCCCTGAGAGCCCAGGGGGCCCGCTGCGCACCCTCCCTGCCTCAGCTCTTCTCACGGGAAACTGCTCTCAGCCCCGCGGTCCGGCAGTCGCGCTGGTTGGTGGGTTTCTTCTGTACAGAGTGGGACCCAAACCGCGGCCTTGGAGGGAGGAGAAAGCCGGCTTTGTTGGCCGCCTCTTGTGCTGGAGAGCTGCCACACGGCTGCCCCCCCTCCCCGGCCCAGCGCCTTGCCAGCAAACCTTAATCCCAAACTGGGCCTTTGTGCGGAGAATAAAGGGGCGCTTTCCGATCCTGCCAGGAGACCAGGTGTCCAAGCCGTGTCCTGCTGCCCTAGCTTGTTGCGTGCCCCCCGGGGGGCGGGCTGGCCGTACCTGTGTAGTGTGCAGGCACCTTTTGCTCCCAGCTGTCAGGCTACTGCCACGGGCCCCAGAGTCCAGGGCAGGTAACGTGTAGTGTCCTGGGCATGTCTGTCACCCCGTGTCTGAGCACTTCTGCCTGCTGGTCTGTAGGCGTTGTGGTGGTTTTTCCAGTTCCTTCTCTCAGGGCTCGTGCTTGCGGTGAGCCTTCCTGCATTTCTGTCCCCAGGTGCACAGACAGGGGGCCCTCAGGGATTGTCAGGTGTACCCGGGAAGCTTCCCGAGCGCCATGCCAGGGCAGTGTCCCTGGTGGAGCGGGTGGCTGTGTGGCCTGGCGTGGGACGGGCCCCTGGGGGCGGGCGCCTGCACCAGGGGCAGCACGGCCCCTCACAGCTCCCCCCCTGCTTCCGCCGGCATGTCATCTGGATGTGCACCTGCTGATGCAGCGAGGTGTTTCGTTCTGCTCGCTCCCTTCCCGGACTCTGGGGCGGGGGTCTCAGTGCCATGCCGAGGGTGGACGGGGCTGGGGGAAGCCAGGGAACTTGCCAGGCTGGCAGCCAGTGAGGGTTGGGCCCTGGGCCTTGCGTCTGGGCCCAGGTGTGAGTGCTTAGTGAGGAGACCCCCGCTCGGTCCCTTTTGGTGGGAGCGAGGGTGCCCGGCAGTGCCCGAAAGGGATGCGGGAGAGGTCAGACCAGCGGCGCAGCTGTGTGGTGAGCACCTGGGGATGTGGGGCCCTTGTCCATTCTGCAGATGAGGACACTGAGGCCCAGAGAGTGCGGTGCTGGGCCAGAAGCTGTGCTCGCTCCATGGCAGCCCCTCCCGCTGCCGCCTTCCAGCACCACTCACTTCCTCCCGCCCACGCCGGGAAGGGGAGGTGGTAATTGCCACCTTGGACCAGTAGCGCTCGTCAACACATTTTTTAGGTCTTTTATTTTATGTTCATGTATCCACGTCTTTATTTCTGTAAAGGCCTCTGCTGACTCTGGGGAAATGGGGGAAGAGCTTCCTCCCGTGGTAGCGTGGTGTGGGGGCAGAACGTCGGCTTTGGAGGAGAACTGGGTTAGTGGGGGCCTCACCACTCCCCCTGGTGGGCCCGCACCGTCGACCTCTTTGCCTGAGCATGAGCATACCCACTTTACAGGTCGTGAGCCACGCTGCAGAGAAAGAGCACCTGGCCTCCACCTTGTCTCTGCCGTGGCTCACAATGGTGGCCGTCCCGTGGCCACCAGGGCCTTCTGCAGGCCTTTGTCAAAACTGCTGAAATTGTTGTTTGGGTGATTTGTTGGTTTCTGTGTCCACCAAGTCCATCGGGACATGGGGCTCTTACCGTCTGCCCACTGTACCCCCCGGGCCTGCACGGGGTGGGCCAGCATGGGCCCAGAGAGTGTGCGGGAAAGGTGGTGCTCTCCCCACAGCTGAGGCCCTCTGAAGGCTGCCCGTGGGGGCCATACTGGGCCGTGGCATGGCCGGCACCCTGCCCTGTGGCCCCAAGTGGCACAGGAGGGTGGGAAGGTGGGCTTGTCGTGAAGGGAAAGGAGAGAAGAGGCAGGTGGTAGCCTCTGAAGCCTCCTTCTGGGCTGCCCAGCGGGGAGTGTGCTGGACATGGAGGGAGGTCCCGTGAGAGATGGCCAGCCCTGCATTTCAGTCCCAGCCCGTTGCCCAGACACGCGGAGGGGGTTCGACCAGGGTTCGAGCATTGGGTGATTGGGGGTGGCGGCTGCACCCTGCCGTCTGTTCTCGTACCGGCACGACCTCTGGGCAGGAGGAGGGTGCTGTGGTCAGAGTCAGCACCTGAGGCCGGACTGAGGGCAGGAGAGGAGCCGAGGACGCCCGGGTGCAGCTTGGGGGACGGAGTCAGCTGGGGAGGAAGCTGCTCCAGCCAGGGGCTCAGGCCGGCCCCTCCCTCAGCCCTGGTCTCGGCATGTGGTCCTCTTCGCTTCTCACCCTGGAACTCCTCTGTGTCAGAATTGGAGCCTGGAGTCCCAGCTTCACATCCTGCCTGTTGTGGATTCCTTGGCCTCTTGGCCTCAGTGTCCTCATTGGTAAAATGGGCACAGTGCTCCTTTGCAGGGTGTTCGGGGTTGTTGGAGATAGCTGGCTGGAAGGAGCTTTGACATACTGGGAGGTGAGGAGCATGGGGTCGCCAGGTGGCTCTGCCCATCCTCCAGTGGCCCTTTGAGTCCCTTCTCTTACACACACACTCACCCGTGTACACACGTGTATGTACGCACCCCCACACACCCCAGCCCTGACGTGAAGCGCAGCTCGGCTGACTTGGGGGTGGGAGGGTGGGGAGCGGGCTGTGAGCTGGGGCCTGGCTTTCTGATGGGGGGAGGGGCTGAGGCGGGCACATCGTCGTCTTTGCTGTTGCGTGTTTTCCGTGTGAAGCCAGGACTCCACGGTGGGACCCATTCCCACCTCCTGCACTCCCTCACCCCTGGGGGTGCGCAGAGTGGAGACAGCCCCCCACAGGCACCCCTGCGCGTCTGCTCACTTGTACTCAGAGTCCCATCAGTGAGCAAATCGTTAATTGAAGGGAAAAGCCGCATTTTACTGAATTCCAAAATTTGGTAAATTAAAGCAATCAATACAGAATGAGATGACAAAGAGCTCTCTGGCTCCCCTTTCCTGGGACCCAGTGTCCACGAGGCCATGTGCAGGACCCGCCGCCCCTGGTGGTGTGCGCGCCCTGCTGTGTAGGAGGCCACGCCTCCGTTTCCGCAGCCCCTGCCTGGCGGCTGGACCCTGACTGTGACCTGTGGCTGCCCCCAGAATGGACTTCCAGTGGCTCACAGCCCTGTGAGAAACGGCAGTTTGTGTCCACGTGCGAAGGGCCGTTTCTCGGGTTATCACCAAGAGCTGGGAATGCGAGGAGTCTGTGCTCCAGCAGGGCTGTGGGGTGGGGGGCTGCCGAGTGTGCCCTGAAGCCAGGCCTGGGATGGCCTGAGGTGGGCTCTGGGTGTCTGCCGGACCCTGATCCCTGCAGCAGCTCTGCATGGCCGGCCGGAGGCCTCGTGGCTGCAGCACCCGTCAGGGCTGCAGAACCCAGGCTGTGGGTCCTCTCCCTTCCAAGAGCATGGGCTGGGGGGCCTACAGACCCCTGGAGGCCCCTGGTGCCCAGAGCCGAGCCTTAGCCCGACGGGGAGCTGCCTGCCATGAGCGCGGGGAGCAGCGGTGGCCTGGGCCGGGTGGCAGCTGGGCGCACCTGCACTAAGTGGTCTGTGTCTGTTGTCAGCAGAGTCCCCGGGCGCCTTTTGCTGAGCTGCCTGATGATGAAAAGATCTTTAATGGGGGTGACAGCATGTGGCAGGGCCAGGAGCAGGCGCTGCTTCCGGAGATCACAGAGGAGGACCTGGAGGCCATCCGGCTGCGTGAGGAGGCCATCCTGCAGATTGAGGTGAGGACCTGGCCTGGTGAGTGTGTGTGGGGGGGTGATTGTGCGAGTGACGGCACCGCTGGCCTCTTGTCCCTGGGTACTGGGAGTGTGCTGAGAAAGCAGCGGGATGCTGGCTCTGCCAGCAGTGGGCCCTGAGCCCCCCTGAGCCCCCTGAGCCCCCGCGAGCCGCCGCACGTACCTGTGGGCGCATTCTCTTCCCCCCGGGCCTCCATCTCCTCATCTGCCTGGGAAGTTGGAGCTCCTTCCAGGGGCTGGGTTTCTGGACACATGTCCTCTGAAAGCAGCTTCTTCTAGAAAAACAGGAACCTGGGCAAGTTGGTAAACTGAGTCCCTGGTGCAGGACCTGTTGCCGTGTTTGCTGTCCCTGGAAGGAGGTGGATGCCCTGCCAGGGAGGCGGGTTCAGCCTTACTTCTGGGGCCCCCTCCCCACTTCGGCCACTGCCTCCGTGAAGCCCCCGCCCCTTCACACTGTCCTGCTCCTCGAAGGGGAAGGTGACGGGCTGCTCCCCTCTGCTGGGACATCCAGAGTAGGACGAAACGCACGCACGCACGCCTACGGCCCTCTCTGTTACAGCAAGACCAGCTTTCCACCAGAAGCTGAGAAAGGGATCCAAGCATGGTTGCCCCTGAAGACATGGGGTATTGGGGTCCCGAGAGGCAGGGAGATCTGCCTCTTGGGCTCAAGAACTGAGGTCCCTGTAGGAAGGGCCCCTCTGGCACACCACCCGCGTGTGGGTGGTGGGGAGAAGGGCAGAGGTTGGGAAGCCGGGCGGTGGGGGGTGCTGTGCTCGAGGATGGGGCCTTGTCCTGGCACCAGGTGGGATCCACCTCTGAAGGTGAAGCTGCAGGATGGGGTTCCGAGGAGCCCCTTGTGTGAGTGCGGTTCCTCCCACATCGGGCAGGCCAGGCCTGGGCCCTGCTCTGGTTCTCCGTGTGGTGTCTAGGCAGAGGGTGGGCTTTACCAGGGGTGATTGGCCCCATCAGCCGAGAGGGAGGGGCCTGGGGCCCTGGCCCACCTAGGACCTGGGGTAGTGTGGGACCCGCCTGGATCCAGCCGGTCTGTTCTCGGCCCTCAGAGCCTAGTGGGGGTCAGCCGGGCACCACTGTGGCCAGCCTCACGGGGAGCTGATGTCCTCATGTGCAGCACGAGGGTGATGTGGACCTGCGGTCGGGCTTGCCCGTGGGTCTGTCCCCAGTTGTGCAGCTGGCCCCGGTGACAGAGCTGCTCAGTGTGAATGGGGGGGGTGGGCAGAGGCTGGAGTCCCGGGGACAGGTGGGCTGCCCCAGGCCCCCACAGGGCCGGCCTGCAGCCCAGCTGCTCAGGGGGCTCGGGGGCTGCCCAGAGCTACAGGGGACAGGGGACAGCGGTGTGGGCAGGTGTGGGCAGCAGCCTCAGGACATGCGTGGGCGGCTCTCGCTGCCGCCACCTGCAGTTTCCCTGTGGAACGGAGCTTCTTAGCACCCCCAGTCTGCCCCCCACATTCTCCCCTTTGTCCCTCCCGACCTCTGGCGGCTAGCCTGTTACTGTCTGTCTGTCCACCAGTTCCGGGGCCCCCCATCACGTGTCAGGCCCAATCCCCAGGGCCCTGCGTAGCTGGTCTGACGGAAGTGGTTGAATGCACTGTACGACGGGCTAGTGCCCCCACCACGGCAATAGAGGCCTGGGGCCTGCACCCCTGTCTGCGCTGCCCTCCTTGCGGACACTGAGGACCCCCACGGGCAGCCTCTCATCCTCGCGTGGCTCCCACGGGGGGAGTTGCTCATGGCCAGCAGGGTCGTCAGCTCACTGTCCAGGTGGGTCTCTGCCTGCCCAGCCCTGGGCCCACTTTTTGGCAGCGTGGCTGTCCAGGGGTGGGATGGGGGCCTGAGCCCCACAGATGCTGACCCCCATGCGGGGTGCTGTGCCCAAACCTCTGGCCCTCAGAGCCGCAGGCGCTGTCCTTCCGCCCCTTGCTTCCATCCTGCTGGGCTGCTTCTGCTCCTCCTGCAGACCTGCTTGGCTTTGGGGACGGGTGGCCCCACCCTGCTCGGCCCCACCCAGGCCTGCTCGGCCCACCGCCGCCCCACCCAGCTCCACGTGCCCCGCCCTTCTCAGCCTTGCCCTTCAGCTCTGCCGGGGCCCACACAGCTCCACCTTGTCCAGCTCCACCCCACCAGCTCAGCCCAGCTCCTCCCCACTCAGCCCTGCCCTGCCTGCTCAGTCCTACCCTACCTAGCCCCACTCTGCCCTTCCGCCCTCCTGTGCCCCACCCAGCTCAGCTCCCCTCCGCCCTGCTCCTCCCTGCTCTGCCCTGCAGGCCAGGGCCGCTCACAGATAGCCTTATCAGCACAGCCGCTCCAGGCCTAGACTCTGGGGTCCTCCTCCTGACTTCCGGCCTCCTGCGCCCCGACGATGCTCCACCCTCCCATCACCGAGTACTAGCGGTGGGCCTGGGGCAGTGCTGGCCCGCTCCCATCAGGGCTGCCCACACGTGTGGAGTGTGGGAAGGAGGGCCGCAGGGCCATGCGGTGCGGCTGGCCTGACACCCCTGCCCCAGACAGGCTCCCACATAACCTGCAGGCCGGGCTGGTGGCCTCGCGAAGCACGAGGGCCTCTTCTTTGTTTCCGTGGGAAGACTAGAGAGGGAAAGCACTGTGTGCAGGTGGAGCTCTGGGGACACCCGGCCACGGAGGGCTGTGCCTGGCTGCTTTGGTAGCTGCTCACCGCCCCGGGGAGGGCCATGCTCGGCCTGTGGGCTCTGCACAGCCCCTGCCAGTGGGACGTGCACCTGCGGAGGGGGCCAGGCCAGGCACGCTGGTCCCAGGCACAGGCTGTCAGGACACCGTCACCCCCTTCCTGATGGAGAGGCCACACTGCTGGGGCCCATGTGGCCTGAGCCCTCGCTCTTCCTGGGCAAGGTGCATCCAGAGGGCCCGGCCAGGGTGAACAGCATGCATGCAGGAGCCAGAGGATGGGCCCCTCCGACAGGGAGCGGAGGAAGCGTGAGTTATGGCCCCCTTCCACCAAGCTAGCTCTTGGCCTCTCTGGGCTCCTTCTCCTTGCCTCTGATTTGGAGGCAGCTGACACTGACCACCTGACACTGGTCCTCGGTGGGCCATGACCTGGGTGACCCCACACCTCCCAGGGCCCCCAGGGGCTGGGTGTGGATGGCTGGCAGCCTCCTGGCCTGCAGCCCTGTCTATAAAGCGGGAAGGGCCGTTTCTGTCCTGCTGGGAGCTAGGACTCTAACTGGGCGTGGGCGGGAGGAAGCCCGACGGCTGAGGCACCCGCTTGAGCTGCGTCCAGGTGTGGGCTGGCAGGTGGCCGGGCGGTGGGCAGCTCTGTCCCCAGGCCTGTGTGCTGTCCCTCGGTGGTCTGTCTGTCCACCACAGCTGTGCCTGCACGGCCGACCAGCCTCTCCTTCTCTGTGGCCTCGCCCCTGCCTCCCGGGAGTCTGGCCTGCGGGGCGCAGTCCCCACTTCACATTCCCACCGGTCGTGTACCCTCGTCCTGTGCCCGCCACAGCGGAGCACGCACAGCAAGGCCATGGCCAGTCTGGGCAGAGCCAGCCCTCCGGGCCGCAGCCTCTCACGTCCCTTCCGGCCTCAGATCCCCTCTCTGAGCCCATTTCCTAGTCCTGTGGGGCTGTCAGAAATGGGGACCCTCAGGTAGTGGGCTGTGGGAAGCTGCCCCTGGAGCTCTCAGCTGAGTCCCCTGTCCTGGAGGTGCCCACCTCCCAGAGGAGTGGAAGGTATGTGTCTAGGGCCTCATGCTCCAAGGTGCGGGCAAGGAGACCCCTCACTTCTTTCTCCTGGGAATGAGGCTGCCCCAGGAAGGTGGCTTGTCCGTTGTCCTCACAGCTGCGGCCAAGACCGCCCGTGGTCCAGTGTGGCCTGTCACCACCTGGGCAGCCAGCCGGTTCCAGCAGGAAGGGCAGTTCTCACTGCGGAGTCTGGAGGGGCCGCTGTGGATGCAGCGGGAGCTTCCTTGTCCCTTGTGGGGAGGGGCTAGCTGGCTTCGGGCAGCTCGTGATTGCAGAGGGGAAGTGGAGGTCTGGCCCAGGGTCCCAGCCCCAGCCATGCCACTGCCTGGCCGTGGGAACCCCGAGGGGTTCCTTCTGGAAGCTTCAGTCTGTTTATCTGTAAGGCAGGACCATGTTGAAAGGGTTGAGGGAACACGAAAATCTTTGTCAGCCTGCAGGTGACGGTATGCTGCAGAGATGGACTGCCTGGCAGGGGCCTCACCTGGGCAGAGCCAGACCTGGTGGGTGTGGGTGGGGCAGGGCATAGCTCACAGCAGCCCCCGCAGCCCCTGCCTCACCCCTCCCTGGGGGCTCCTCGAGGCCCATGCCCCAGTTCACAGCCCCAGTTCACACCTTGCCAGGCCCGGTGTGGGCTACTGCTGACTAGGGGTTCACCCCAGCGGGAGACCCTGCTGTCACCAGGGCGCTGAGGTCGGCCGAGAGCCCGGGTGCCAACACAGTAACGGCGAGGGACCCTTCCCAGGGCCGGTCTTCTCTCGGGGAAGGAAGACTCTCCTGTCTCCCGGTGCTAGGCTCTTCCCAGCTTCTTCACGTGGAGGATCCAGCGTGCTTTTGTGACGCAGCCTTGGAAGCCCCGCGGCCTCGCCTCGGCCCCGTTGGTTAAGGCAGTCACGGAGGTGGAGGCGTGCCGGGCTGCCTTGTTAGGAATAGCACAGCCGGTGTGTTGGGGTGGTTCCCAGGCCCCCCGGCACCATTCCGTGGGGCACACGCTTCCCTCGGTCCCTTTCCGCCAGGTGTCCTGGTTCTTTGAACACGCTGGTGCCTTCCTGCCTGGACCCTCTTCCTCCAGACGCTCGAGCAACTGCCTTCCGCTTTGTACCTTCAGGTCTTGACGCAGGTGTTGCCCGTCTAAAATTCCAGTTTCTCCTCTGCGTTGTCGAACATACCGTGTCATGGATGATCTTGTGATTTTTCTTTTCGCGAGAACGGAGCCCACGGAGGCAGGGACTCTTGTCTGTTGTGGTCGTTGCGGTGTTC